CCAACAAGGGGTGGAAAAAGTGGCTGCTTAGTAATGAGGACTACATCTTAGCACTAAACAAGTAGGGAGGTGATGTGGGAGCGGCCAGAAGTCAAGCAGGCACGGACCTTGCAAAGGGCAGCCTTTCCCTGCTTCCATCTTTGTGTGTGCCAAAAGCCAAGGTGAAGCATCCGTCCAGGGCTGACTCCGCACCCAGATCTCCCCACCCTCCACTTCACCTTGCCCTGCTCTTATTTGCAGAAGTGAGGAACCATTCGCTATTCCTTGAGCGCGGAGGGTAGGGGGAAAGGAGAAAGTGGACATGACCGTAGCCGAGCTTGGTGGTAAAGTGCCAAGACCATTGCTCCTGTCCGCCTGGCGGTTGGCTTAGCTCCATCCCAGCCTTCGGAGAGAGCTGGCACATGAAATGGCAGGTCTGGTAACAAGTATTTTTAACAACTCCATCAAGTTGGGGGAGGCACCATCTGACTGGAGAATAACGAATGTAATGCCTATATTTAAAAACGGGGGGAGGAAGAAAAAAGTAAGCCAGGCAGGAATAGGACTGTAAGCCTGACCTCAATCGCATGCCATTTCAGAACAGATTTTGAAGGCAAAAGAGGAAAATGAATCATGGGTTTGCCAAAGGTAGGTCATGCCAGGCTAACCTGGCATCGGAGAACTGGTTTCTAAGCACAGGAAACACGCAGAGCTCCTCTCTGTAGTAAAGCATTTGGTATGGGAAACTGTTAATGAACGAGAGAAGATGAGAAGTGGAAGAGGAGCTGTGAGGCTGGCAAGGAAGTGAGCAGCGTGGAGATGGCGCTGGATGGTGCTGAGGGGAGGCCGCGGCTGCTGGCGGCCAATGGAGCTCCTCAGGGACTGGACGCAGACGTTGCTTCTCTAAGCTTACGATGTTGGCTAGTTTTGTTGAGCTGGGGCGTGGTGGAGTTTATCACCCCAGGTGGAGGAACCATGGCCTGGAGGAAGAGGTATGGGATGCAGTTAAAAATGCAAAGCCGTGGGCTTGGGGAAGAATAACAAAGAAATCTCCTAGGATCCCAAGTCCTTCTGATTGGAAAGTGCTGGTGTGGAGAAGGACGAGGATAAACTAGAGACCGCAAAGTGACTGTACGGCCGCAGAGCCACGCAGCAGGCTGCAGGTGCAGGAGCAAAGACGTGCAGGCGCCACGAGGAAGTGCTAGCGGTGCTGTACCGGGGTCGTGGGACCCTGTCGAGATCGCTTGCTTTGGTCTCCTACGGCCAGGGAAGATGAACTGAGCCAGGGCTGGAGCAGGGAAGGGGCTGCTAGGTAAATTAGGGAGAGAGAATCTGTCATACAAGAAAAAAATAGAGGAACCTGACTGACTTTGGCTAGCAAAGTAAAGGCGGGGAATGACCATGATCGCTATCTATAGATATATAAGGTTGGGAAACAGGAAGGAGAAGAGCTATTTAAACCAAACACTGATGCTGGCAAAAGAACAAATGGGTATGAACTGGCCACAAATGAATTTAGGCTGAAAATTAGAGCAACCATTAGAGCGTCTGCTTGAGGATAAGCCTTCCACGGGGAATAGCGGACTTTTAAGGTAGGGCTCCCAAGGAGTCTGAGGGAGATGGCATGATGTGAGATGGCAGTGATCTGGACTCGGCAGCTCTGTGAGACCCTGGCAGACCAAATCCTCCCCCAAAGGCAAAGCTGTTGGGACTTCAGCTAGGGAACGTAGTGCATGTCAAAGCGTCGGGATTAACGGGACATATGGCCAGGCTTGATGGTTCCTTTGGTTTCCTGGGCAGACGTGCTTTAGCTTTGAATGTGGAAAGATGGAAATACATACATATACATGTGTATATATAAATACGTATAAATATATACGTATGCACATGCATACAGGCACACATGCTGTTCTGCGTGCTGGTGTCCTGTTGCACTGGATCCTTTGTGATCACTCTCCCTGTGAAGGTCTAGAGAAGCTGCTGAAAATGCAGGGCCTGCGAAACACTGAGCCCCTCAGCTCATGCGTTTCCCAAAGCCCCTAGATAGCCCCTCGTTTCCCCAGTGGGGACCGTTTGCAACTCGCTCAGCCGAGCGCTTGGCCACCTGTGGCTGCCTGTGCACCGCAGGGGTGCTGCATAGGGGCTGGAGCAGGTCCCCGGCTCCTCGGGGAATAAAAGGACAAAGCTGGCGGTTGTCACGGCCGAGCAGCTCCCAGCTATCCGGCTGCGGCCAGGCTGCCTCGCTGGGCGACTCCAGCATGTGGCTTTGTAGGGAGTGCCTGGACATGCTCTGGGAGGCTTCATCCTGTGGTTGGGGGATGCCAGCAAAGGTGGTGTCAGCCAGGGGACACACGCGGCTGGTCGGAGCAGGGGCGATGGTCAGGGCTGTTCCCTGGTTTGCCAGCGGAGTGTGCAGGCTGGCAGAGCTGTGCCCAGCTCTGGGCGCAGGATCGGCCTGCCCCAGCGTGGCTGTGCTGAGCCCCTGCCGCAGTTTCCCCAGCTGTGGGCTCCAGATGCTGCAAGGTTTGGCTGTGCCTGTAAAGCACGGCGGTGTCTGCAGCGGGGAAGAGGCAGCCTGGGAGCTGCTGCTGGTGTCACTAGCCGATCACCCCAGGGAAATTGCTTGTAATCTGCTGCTAAGTGGTCACCTCTCTTTTAGCTGGTGGGCAGAGAGAAAGAAATTGCCCATGCAATTGCAGAAGCTCTCTTTAAATCTCCTTGGAGTGATTTGACTGCTGCCGTACACATGCTCTCTCCCTTTCTCCAGCAGTGCCTGGGTTTTGTTCCCAGCATCTCGCGAACGGTGCGTTCACAGCGAGAACGTTCGCGATGTGATTTGATGGCTTTTCGCAGCGATGGCAATTCTCCCAGCCCGTCTGGGAGCAGCACGGGCTGTCTGCCTCGGCAGACCACCTTCTCCTTCTCTCCCCCTTCTTTCTTCTGGCTTTGTCATTTCTCCTCCCTTCCACCCAGGAATTAGCACCATGCTCTTTATTCAAACGTATTTCATGCACAAGTACAACCGGCTATTGCTGTAGAGTGCTTCCCAGCTCCTGCTTCCCAGCTCTTTCCTCTATATTTCGCCATGGCTCCTGTGCCTCCTACATCTCTTCCCCTTTTTCCACCCTGTCTGCAGCTGAGATCCCTCACAGCTGGAGGGGAGAAGGTCAGAGGAGGAATGGAAGTGGTCCAAGCACTGGGGAAAGTTGTCTTGTTCACCTGTTGGGAAGGAATTCATCTGTTTTGCATCCCTGGTGCCCGGGACCGTGGGGAAAGCCTGTGGCTTTTGGATGGGGCCAGTTTTGCAGGCGAGCGGCCCCAGAGCGGGCGGCAGGTACCTGGCTGCGTCTTGGTGGGGTCTGGAGCCCGGCTTGCGTTCGGTCCGAGGAGGGCGTGGGCGCTCGCTCGCCCGGGGGGCTGCTCTGCACTCGGGGGGAGGCTCGCTGCTTGTGCGGTGGTGCAGGGGGCTGCAGAGGGGGCACTCGTCCCCTTTGCTCCTCTCTAGGATGTGGGGCTGATAACTGCGACCGTCTTGCTCGAAGGCCCTGCCTCGGATCAGAGCCCCTTTGCGTGGCGCCGACCCAGGTGGGGAGAGGGCTCCCCGTGGGCAGGCGAGTGGGGTGACCCGCCTGGAGCGGGCTCGGAGCAAGAGCCGATACCCTGTGCTCTGCTCCCTTCGGACCACCTGCTGCTGGAGACGCTCGGCACTGGCCGGGGGGGCGGGAAAAC